CTTTCAGCAAATATTCACTAAGGCGATTATACCACATGCGCCCAGATTGCTTTAAACCGTACAAAGATCTTTGTAATCTGATTGAATACATTTCCTGAGATTTTGCTTCAGGCATTTTAAATCCTTCAGGAATTTTCATATAAATTTCATTATCAAGTGAACCGTACAGATAAGCTGTAACTACATCCATTAGATGTATTTCAAGCTTTTCATGTAGTGCTAAACTGATGAGATATCGAAATGTTATGGCATCCATAACAGGTGAATATGTTTCATCAAAATCGACTCCAGGTCGTTGTGAGAATCCTTGTGCAACAAGGCGAGCTTTGTATCTTTCAACTTCATTTTTATCATTCCTTTTTCGCACAAAAACCCATTTATGACCAACTGGTTTTATACCAGCAGGTGTTTGGACTACTGGTCCAAAGACCTCTCTTTTAGCAAGTGACTTCAACTCCGATTGAATTGCCTCTTGCCATTTGGGCCAATGAGATCTTTGTCGACATTCTTCGATAGATCGAGGTTCAAGATCCTCACTATCTTGCATAAGTGCAACATTATATGCAAAAATATTATCCACCATTATTTCAGATCGATTTAAATTAATCCCATCACTGATCAAACTTATTAAAAGTTCCTCACTCACATGAGCTTTGGGTTCATTGATTTCTTCAGGAATCTCAGAACTAATCAGATTTTAGGTTTCTTCCGGAGATCCCTTCATAGTATCGTTTTGATCATTTGTCGATTTTCTTTTTCGAGGATTTCGATCCTTAGAACCCAAAGGCCTACCACGCTTCAGGCGTGCTTTAGGTTCACTATCTCTCATGCTAGTAGATGGTCCTACTGGGACATCAATTCGGATAGGCACATTCTCTGCTGGGATATGTGACTTAGTTATCCTTTTCAAATCAGTAAATGCGTCTGGCATTTGATTTGCTATATTCTGTAAATGGATGATCTTCTGGACTTCCTGATTACATATAGGGGTATGGGATCAAAGTGAGATAAAGATGAAATTTTCCACACAATTTCTCTTTTGATTTCCTTTTTCTCTCCCCCTAATTGTGGAAAATTTGTTTCATCAAACCGACAATCTGCAAATCGACCAGTAAATAAATCTCCTATCAATGGTTCAAGATAGTGAATAATAGAGGGTGATTCAAACCCAGCATATATTCCTATCCTTCTTTGTGGTCCCATCTTACTACGTTGTGGTGGTGCTACTGGCACATATACAGCACATCCGAAAATTCGTAGATGGGCAATATTTGGTTCATGACCAAAAACTAATTGTGACGGAGAATATTTATTATAATGTGTCGGTCTGAGACGGATAAGTGATGTTGCATGCAAGATAGCATGGCCCCAAGCAGTAGTGGGCAATTTTGTTTTCATAAGTAGTGGTCTTGCTATCAATTGCAGACGTTTAATAAATGACTCTGCAAGGCCATTTTGAGTATGAACATAAGCTACAGGATGTTCAACTTTTATCCCAACGGATAGACAATAATCATCAAAAGCTTGAGATGAGAATTCTCCAGCATTATCAAGGCGAATAGCCTTTATAGGATAATCTGGGAATTGTGCCCTTAATCGAATTATTTGGGCTAATAGCTTTGCAAACGCCAGGTTGCGAGATGATAGTAGGCACACCTGAGACCATATTGAAGATGCATCTATTAGGACCATTAAATATCTAAACAACCCACTTGGTGGGTGAATAGGTCCACATATATCCCCATGTATACGCTTTAAAAAGGCAGCGGATTCAATACCAACCTTCATTGGTGATGGTCTAGTGATCATTTTTCCTTGATAACAAGCATCACAAGAAAATTCGTCATTTGTAAGAATCTTTAATGGATGACCACTCGTATTTTCAGTAATTCGTCTAATCATTATTGATACGGGATGGCCCAAACGGCCATGCCAAAGCACAAAAGTATTTGAATCCGTAAACTTCTGGTTTACGATAGAGTGTGCTTCAATTGTACTAATTTTTGAATAGTATAAGCGAGAAGATAAAGTTGGTAACTTTTCTATAATGCATTTCTGGCCAGAACTATTCTTTGTAATACAAAGATATTCCCTGTTCATTTCATCTATTGTCTCAACATGATACCCATTTCGGCGGATATCTATAAAACTCAACAAGTTTCTTCGGGACTTGGAGGAGAACAATGCATTGTCTAAAATAAGTTTTGTTCCCTTAGACAGAAATATTATGGCTCTTCCGGAGCCTTCAATCAAACTTATATTACCAGAAATTGTTGAAACATTTGCTTTTTCCTTATGCAAATAAGAAAAGTATTTCTGATCGTTGAATATGGCATGAGTTGTTCCACTATCAATAACACAAATATCTTCATGATTTGTCTTTGATCCAAACATAATTTGAGGGTTATCCATATTCTTCAAAATAACATAAATAAAATATATTATAGTAAACATCATTATCAAAGCATAACTTTTATTTATGTACAACAATTACATAACCATACTATCTATTACAAACAACAAAAATTAAAATATTTACATTTCTACAGATTCACTACCGATTACATGACTTATTTCTCCTTCTGGGAGTGCAAAGTAATCAGCTACATCCAAATGCATGAAGTCTAAATTATCTTCAGAAATAAAATTTGCTTCAGCATTTTTCTCTGTCTTCTTCAGGGAGGCTTGATAAAGCTCAACCAGGTGCTTTGGCGTACGACAGGTACGTGACTAGTGCCCTTTTCCTCCACATCTATAACATGCATTTTCTGCATTTGGCGCTTGCACCGCTTCATGCTTTTGTTCTTTCCTTTTCCACTGCTAGTGGTGAGGAGGCTTCTTTGGTGCATTATTATTACCATGATTGGGGTTTCTTCCCCGACCACGGCCATGACCACGACTGTGGCCACGACCTCTTCCACATTTAGCGTGGTGGAAGTTCGTCTCATTCACTTCAGGGAATGGACAAGAACCAATAGGTGCCGGCTTTCATGATTTTTCATTAATAGCCCATTATGTTGCTTTGCTATAAAAAGATGTGACATAAGTTCAGAATACTTTTTAAATCCCATATCTCGATATTGCTACTGTAGGAGCATATTCGAGGCATGAAAAGTGGTGAAAGTTTTCTCCAACATATCATGATCAGTAATATTATCACCACATAATTTCAATTGGGAAATAATTCTGAACATAGCAGAATTATACTCACTGATAGATTTAAAATCTTGTAGCCTTAGATGAGTCCAATCATAACGTGCCTGTGGAAGAACGACCATCTTCAGGTGGTCATATCTATCTTTCAAATTATTCCACAGTATGACTGGATCTTTAATAGTGAGATATTCCATTTTCAGGCCCTCATCAAGGTGATGGCGTAGGAATATCATTGCTTTGGCACGGTCTTGGTTTGATGCCTGGTTTTTATCCTTGATGGTGTCTGCCAGACCCATCGCATCAAGATGAATTTCAGCATCAAGCACCCAAGACATGTAGCTTTTGCCCGATATATCCAGGGCTACAAATTCAAGTTTAGAAAGATTTGACATTATTTAGGAAAAGAAAGTTCTTACCTCAGATACTTTCAAAATATTTGCTCGAGATGGTAGAGCTTCGTGCTGATAACGTGTTATAAAATAAAGACTATAAAGTAAAGACAAGTATAGAGAGAAACTGATATATTATTCGAATTCAAACTGATGTACATAATGAACTGAAATCTCTTCTATTTATAGAAGAAAGGAAGTTGTTGTACCAGATATGGATAATCTTCTACTGAGAGCAATGTTTATCCATAACGCAGTACTGAAAGGATAAGCTTATTATACCTGATATGGATAATCTTCTACCGGGGGTAATGTTTATCCATAACTGGGTACTGAAAGGATAAGCTTATTATACCTGATATGGATAATCTTCTACCGGGGGTAATGTTTATCCATAACTGGGTACTGAAAGGATAAGCTTATTATACCTGATATGGATAATCTTCTACCGGGGGTAATGTTTATCCATAACTGGGTACTGAAAGGATAAGCTTATTATACCTGATATGGATAATCTTCTACCGGGGGTAATGTTTATCCATAACTGGGTACTGAAAGGATAAGCTTATTATACCTGATATGGATAATCTTCTACCGGGGGTAATGTTTATCCATAACTGGGTACTGAAAGGATAAGCTTATTATACCTGATATGGATAATCTTCTACCGGGGGTAATGTTTATCCATAACTGGGTACTGAAAGGATAAGCTTATTATACCTGATATGGATAATCTTCTACCGGGGGTAATGTTTATCCATAACTGGGTACTGAAAGGATAAGCTTATTATACCCGGTATGGATAATCTTCTACCGGGATAATATTTATCTATAACCGGGTACCGAAGTGATAAGCTTCTTCAGGAAGCTTATTTCCAATAGAGTACTAAATAGATAAACATATTTACGGTGGAGTCCCATATGGATAAGCTTCTTCAAGAAGCTTATTTACAACGGAGTATTAAATGAACATCCATAATATAATATATTTATAACAATGCATTGCATTTAGGATTTGTTTTTACACTTTTAGAATTAATCAGTAATTATTTATTTTATAAAATTTTAAAATCACAAGAAATAGCTCATTTTCACATTTTTTGTCTTTAATTTTAGTTTATTGATTTTTCTTTTTTAATTTAGAATTAAGTATTGTTTACAATTTCTATAATTAGTTTAATTTTACATTTTAGATGATTTAGTTTTTTTTTAATTATTAGGATTTTTAATTTTTTTTAAAAACAATAGAGAGAAAGAAGAAAGGAAAAGAAAAAGAAAAGGAATAAAAAGGTTAATTAAAGACAAAGTTGTTAAATTTGAGTTTAAGCTACTCTTGATGCTTAATTCGGTTCAGCCCCAACCCAAACTATTTTTCTACCGCCCCAGTCCAAAGACATGACCCGACCCACCTGACCCGTTTCCCTCTTAATATAAAAACCCCCTTATAATTTTTGCACCTAAATTCCTTAACCCTAACAAATCAGAGAATGCGGCGCACCCCCCACTGTTCATCTTCTTCTTCAATGATTCAGCCCCCAACTCGTCTGAAACTCAGGCGAGTTCACTCAAATGGGACTCTTCCTCTCCATGTCATTTTATTCTAACGGTCTTTTGTCAGAAAGAACGAATATTCTCTCTAAATTTGCACGATTTCTGTACTATTGAGCGATTTGCTGGATGAATAGGAGCCGTGGATGGATGAAAATCGATCCATGCCTTCCATTTGTCCCTAAAATGGTTCACAAACAAGGGAATTTTTCGGATCCGAGGCAGAAGCTTCGAGAATTTTTGAGGTTATATATAAGGTAAGTTTCTTTTCTTGGAAGGTCAGAGAAAATCGAAGGATAATCAGGAGAAAGATTGAAGAAAAAAATCTTCAGAAAAATTTAGTAGTAGAATTTCTAGGGTTTTGAGTTTTTCTTTTCTCTTCAGTTTTTTTTTTCAGTCAGCAAATTTCTTAAAAAAAACAAAAAATGTACAAAGGCATATTCTGAGGTTGTTTGTTTTATTTCATCTTGGGGAAAAAAATCAAAAAAAAAATATACAAATCTCAGCTTTTTTCCTTGATTCTGAGTTTTCAAGAATGGCTCTTGAATTGAAGTTTTAAGTTGTAGTTTTGTCGCTGGATTTTGGTTTTTGGCACTATTGGTTTTTCTGTCCAATTTTTGGTTGCCATTTGGATCTGTTTGGCTAATCTATTAAGCTGTTGTTACTGTCGCTGAATGTCATCTCCCATTTCAGAGTTTCGTTTGGATATTTTCAGTTGATTCTGCTAATAGTTGGGTTCTAATTTTGGTCATCATTTCCTCTCCAGAAATCGGAGATTTATTTTCCTTTTTGGGTCTTTTGCAGATTAACCAGGTACATTTGATCCAATATCTTACAATTTTTTTATTTAAATAATACCAATTTGTTCATGTTCTATTTTGTTCCATTACTGCTAGAATAATCAAGGTTCGTTCGGTTATGTCGAGTCCGGTCATTGATTGTTATTATTATTGTGAGAATTAGTTTTGAAGTTACTGTCGCTCTCAAAGTGCATCTAGTTAAGCTGATCAGCTCATGTGATGTTACAATGACTACTAGCTAAAGAAAAATATTACAGGTTTTTAATGTATAATACTACTAATTGTATGAGAATCTATATTGGAAAATTTACAAGAGGGTCAAAGTATGCCAAAATATATGTCTTTTTTTCAAACTTCTAACTGAAAGGGTGATTTTGAACGTGATATTGTGGTAAATTATGAGTTGCATAATTAAATACAGCAGCTAAAGAGATTACTTTGCTGAAGTACTAAACTTGGTATATTGCTTCTATTAAAGTGAGTTTCGAATTTGAGATTTTGAGATTATTTTGAATTTAGAAAAGTGACAGCCTAGTTCATGGGTTTAACTATGTTTAAAAGAATTTGAAGTTCAAACCAGCATGAAGAGGCTCACTGATGTAGTATTCAAAATTAGTTGAAAAATTAGTCTTCTAGTACAGAATTTAGATGTACATTATGAAATTAAGTAAGGATGTGATGATCAATCAAAATTAGTTTTGAAATAATGTTTACACTCCGATATTGTCTAGTGTAAAAAAAATCAGTTTCTGTGCATAAGCATTATGCTGTTGATTGGCATAACAAGTCCGAGTTTAATCAAACACATGCGTGCTTTAGGCGTAAGCTGCTAGAACATGGGTACTCTATAAAATTGTTGCCTTATTCATTATTAAGCATGAAGAACGTGAGTTTGAAATCCTTCTTTTGTAAGCATTCCAAAATATCTGAACCTTGCAAGATTCCCAAATTTTAGAATAATGGAAATCATGACAATCGTAGTTTGCTTTAGGCTCGATTTAGATTAGTATTGCAATAATGTATACGTTCGTGTAACATAATTGCAAATTTAACTCTAAAAAGACTCGAGGGTTGCGTTCGCGCAACTTCGACCAATATTTCTAATAATAACAAAAGCGTTATTAATCGTGGACACATTCGCGTGACATGATTTTGACGCACCAAAAGAAAGGAGTATACGTACGCGTAACTCAATTCTGTAATTACGAATAATTCAAGTGATTTAAAAGCGGTAAAAAGATAAATGCACATAGGTCCTAAAAATGAGTTGTTAAATAATTTAAGCCAAGTATAAATTGCTAAGCGATCATGCTAGAACCACGGAACCCGGGAATGCCTAACACCTTCTCCCGGGTTAACAGAATTCCTTATCTAGAATTTCTGGTTCGCAAACCTTTAAAAAATAAAGTTTTCCTCGATTTGGGATTATAAAATATACTGGTGACTTGGGACACCAAATAAACTATTCCAAGTGGCGACTCTGATAAATTAATTAATCCCATTTCGAATAATGTCACTTTAATTGGAAAAACTCTCATATACGCCTTCGGGGGTGTAAAAAAGGAGGTGTGACACTCCTCTATGAGATTCTATGGTTGTTGATAGGATTTATCGGTCCTGTGTGGTCACATTCTATGGTTTCGAGACTAGAGCAGATCTCCTATTACTTGATATGATCAACTTTGAGGTCATCCTGGGCATGGATTGGTTATCCCCATACCATGCCATCCTTGATTGTTATGCCAAGACTGTTACATTAGTAATGCCAGGGTTTCCAGGGTTGGAGTGGAAGGGTTCTACAGTTGATATATATAGTCAGGTTATCTTTTTCCTAAAGGCTCGGCATATGGTCGAGAAGGGGTGTTTGGCTTATCTGGCCTATGTTCGGGACACCTCCGCTGAGTCTCCGATGATTGATTCAATTCCAGTAGTTCGGGAGTTCGCTGATGTGTTTTCTTCTGGTCTTCCTGGCATGCCACCGGATCGCGATATTGATTTTTGTATTAATTTGGCTCCAGGTACCAAGCCTATATCTATTTTGTCGTACTGTATGGCTCCGAAGGAGTTGAAAGAGTTGAAGGAGCAGCTTGAGGAGTTGTTAGAAAAGGGGTTTGTTAGACCAAGAGTATCACCTTGGGGTGCACCAGTGTTGTTTGTAAAGAAGAAGGATGGGACCATGCGGATGTGTATTGATTACCGCCAATTGAACAAGGTTACCATCAAGAACAAGTACCCGTTACCGTGCATTGATGATTTGTTCGACCAGTTGCAAGATGCTAGGGTGTTCTCTAAGATCTACTTGAGATCAGGGTACCATCAATTGAGGATTCGGGACTCAGATGTTCCGAAGACTACTTTCCGTAGTAGATATGGTCATTATGAGTTTCTGGTGATGTCTATTGGCTTGACTAATACCCCAGTGGCATTTATGGACCTGATGAATAGGGTGTTCAGACCTTATATTGATTCCTTAGTCATCGTTTTCATTGACGACATCTTGATATACTCACGTAGCCTGGGGGAGCATGAGCAACATTTGAGAGTAGTGATTCAGACCTTGAGGGAGCAGAAGTTGTATGCTAAGTTCTCCAAGTGTGAGTTTTCGCTAGAGTCAGTGGCATTCTTGGGGCATATTATGTCAGGAGAGGGTATTAAAGTGGATCCCAAGAAGATTGAGGCAGTGCAGAGTTGGCTACGTCCTACTTCAGTGACCGAGATCAGGCGTTTCCTGGGGTTAGCAGGTTATTACAGACGATTCGTGCAGGATTTTTTCATCTATTGCATCACCTCTAACTAGATTGACCCAGAAAGGTGCTCATTTCCGTTGGTTCGATGATTGTGAGGTGAGTTTTTAGAAGCTCAAGACAGCTTTGACTACTGTGAGCACGTGATTTTTGTTTTCGCGCGACAATCGCTCCAAAAAGAAATAAAAAAAAATATAATTGGCCCTGCTGTACAATTTTCGGATTTCTGTGCGGCAC